TTTACTCACATACACACCAAGAACTTTAACATAAACAGACTCACGGAATGAAGAAAGTATAATAAAGAATGGGATAACAAATGGACCTATACACCTTTTGATTATATTCAAAGACATCCCTCTATGAACAGCATGGTACTGCTCTATTTATTTTCTCTATTCCGCACAGTAGTTAGCAAAAGCTGCACTGCTCCAATGGTCACATTTGCCTCAGCCAAGGTGACCCTTACTCTAGGTCTTTATGTTTGGAGCACACCACCTATCCTCTCATTTATATGTGTTGAATCCTTTAAGCCACTAAAAAAAAATGATGCTACGAATAAGCGTATTCCCTCCTGTAACTCCCCACTCAGAAATTTAATTGTTAGCCTTCAGTGGATAACAATATTTACATCTAGAAGGGTACTCAGAAAACAGCATGCGTTTCGGTTCCTCCCGAAAATACCTTGATTGAAATTGATGTTCTTGGGTTTGTTGGACTCCTATCTCGATAAATTATGTCACATGAGGAAAGTAAAATAAAGTTAAAAATAGTAAATGGATCATGCAGCGATGTGCATATGAGAAATAAATTACTCATAGCTATGCAAATGGAAGAAAAGTGAGTGCTGTTTATAAATTAACCATACGTATAAGAGAACAAATTTCTTTCAAGCAAAGCAACCCCATTTTTTTTATAGTGATAGGCTTTGCAACAGTCTTCCCTCTACACATATTATCTCTTTATAAATGTTATATTTTTCCTTTTCAATTAACGCATTCAATAATACTTTGTTATAATGATAAAGGTTGCCTGTAGCTTCCTTCAATTTAATTGCCGATACAAATGATTATCTACGACTGGAAAACGGGTCACCTTGTAGTATATACTAAAATAAATAACTTTTCATTTCATGATTTTGTTATTATTATTAGCAAAGTATTATTTACTTCCGTTTGATCACTCACTATATGCATAACAAATATAAAATATTTAAAATTTTTAATATATAAAAATAAAAAACTGATCTTCTTGAAGTAATATAACAAACGATCAAAAAATATATAAAAAATGTAAGAAAAGTATCAATATATGTATATATATATATAAAGCACATCAAAAAAAAGTGCATTATATACCCATAATTTTAAATTCAATCATAAAATTGTAAAATATAGCTTATATATACACCCTGAATTCACTATTTTACCTTTTATAATGTATCTTAGGCATACCCGTCAGATGACGAGGAAAACAATAAGTAATAGTGGAAGGAGGGCAGAAAGCAAACCCTCGAGGAAAATCACGCTTTCCCTCGAATATTAAATGCAATCTTGCACTCTACTAAATTTTCTATTACGCTGGGGTTAACCAAGGTTGTGTCATCTCCGATATCCTCTATATTGCCGGTAGCAATCTTCCTTAACATTCGACGCACGATTTTGCCAGATCGCGTCTTGGGCAGGCCGCACTGCGCGGGGTGCACAAAGTCTGGTGTGGCCAATGGGCCGATAATATCCCGCACCACCGCCCGTACTTCGTTCAACAGACGCTCGGTCACAACCT